CCCCCCCCCCTCACGTCGGACTGACCTGGCTGATGCGATTGAAGCCATATTGCTTGAAGTTCTCGTCGTAGAGGGGCACAGTGTTGGGCCCTATGTAGAACGGCTCCCAGGGGTCCACCCAGCTGAGCGTGTAGGCCACTTCCAGAGTCCCTCTGACGCGGCTGTTGACCCACCGTGAGTAGTTGGTCGGGGCCTGACAGCGAGAACACAGCTCCTCATAAAACGGCCGGACCTCACCCACCTGGTAGAGCTGAACCAGCTCGGGCTTGGTGGCAGGCATCTTCCTGGCGTGGCGGATCTCGAAAGCGGGCAACACGAAAACCTCGTCGCTCGCCGGCTCTCGACCGGACATCATGGCCAAGAACTGCGGGTGCAGGTCAGCGCTCGGCATCATGTCAATGTCGATGACCAGGATGTAGGAGGACTCGGTGCCGCCGCGAGCTACATTACGAAGGAGGTTGTTGGGGTAGGAGATGTTTCCACTGATGGCATAGTTCTTGAATTTGTCCCTGTGAGTCTCCAGTCTGGTGAAGACAGACGAACAGTCCTCCAGCCCTGCAAAGTGCTCATGGTCCTGCTCGGGGAAACTGGCCGTCTCTCCAGAGAGACAGACCAGGTGGAAGTCCACCAGGGCCTGGATCTGAGGGCAGAAGAAGCTGAGAGCGTAAACCAGAGCGGTGGCAAACTTCACGTCCTGCCCGTGAGCGAATATGGCCACAGACAGAGGCTGGTGCCACCTCTGCAGCAGAGAGTCCAGGTGGTGCAGGTTGTTGATGGTCGTGTGTGTCGCTAAAGCCAGGACGTCCGACCCTGGTTTCCGGTTCGTGCTGAAGTCACTCTGGATCAAGTTCTTGTAAACCCGGTACTGACCACTGTGGTCGAAGATCCCCCCGGTGGACAGGGAGAACCGCAGCCGCTCCTTTCGGGTGTTTTTCTCGGGGTGCGCGTTCTTCTTGGCCCCGGTGCCCCCGAACAGCTCCGAGTACCGGTACCGCTGCTGCTTCCCGTGGAACCGGGACAGGAAGGACAGGTACATGAGCTGCAGCAGCGCCACCACCAGCAGGGCGCTCAGCACCACCTTGAAGGCCGAGCACTTCTTGGACAGATGCATCCCAGAGAGAGGGACGGATCCCGGCTCAGGGCCACACACCGACAGCTGGATGTTCGAGCCCCGCAGCTAACGCTCCCCGCATAGCTACCACGATGCTAGCGCCCCCCCCC